ATATTTTGCTATTTGTAACTTTAACTTATTTACCATTTCTTTAATATTAAATATAATATAAATTATTCCAAAATTCAATATTTCAATTGTTTTAAAAAATGTTGAATATGTAGGTATTTAATTTAATATTTAAAAAAAATCTCCTAATATAACATATATTTTGCTACTTGTAACTTTAATCTATTTACCATTTCTTTAATATTAAATATAATATAAATTATTCCAAAATTCTAAATATTGAATATATATATATATATATATATATATATATATATATATATATATATATATATATATATATATGTATTATTTCAATTTTTTTTCTATATTTACAACTATGTGGGTTTTTTTTTTCTTTTTGAAAATTCAAAATCTGATAATGAAACGTACATTTTGTCACTTGCAACTATAATATGTTTACCACTCGTTTAATATTTTCACCAATTTTATGTCTAAATATTTCTTAAATTTGCCCAAAAATGGTAAAATAATCCCTTTAAATTTAAAAATTTTAAAGATTTTTTATTATTTAATGTGTGTATAGTATTCAAAAAAAACAAAATCGGGGGCGCTGCCCCCGAACCCCCGTAAACTATTAGCCAATCATTATATTTTTTACTATATTTAATTTCGAACACCCTTGGCAAAAATCCTGGATTCGCCACTGATCATCATCATCATAAGTACAAACACCATCATCATAGATATCTGAAATAAAGTTACTTGCGGAGATTTATAAGAGAACATATCTCTAAGTTTGTGACTTGAAATGCTATCATAGTAGCAATATTTTGGATCTATATTATGATCATGAAGTGGTAATATAAAAACTCAAGTTGCTCGTGATAGTAAAATCAAGAAAATTTGATGGCATATCGTACTATAACATGAGTTGTGAGCTAAAATGGAAATAATACAAAGCTCGTTCAATTGTTGTTATTCTTACACAGCGAAACAACAAAATATTTCAATAGACATCTTAAATAGATATCATGGTGCTTATTACATTAAAAATTTATCTCACCATTAGATGTGAGAAATATGAAAAATGATTGGTCGTATATCCATTCTACGATAAAGCATGTTGATAAGCTTTATCGAGCACCAATAGACAAACAAAAGAAATTGTGTCGTTTTAGAGTTCTGATTTTGACCAATCCAATTAATGATTTTGAATCACAAAAGTTTAGAGATGCAAATTTTATTTCAAATCCATATTTGTGGAGATATGTACATAATTTTTTTTAGATATATTTTATATAGAGTGAGATGGAATTTCAAATCAAACGAAAAATAAAGGCGACCTAATTTTCTTGCTAAAATTCCAAACCTGCTGCATATTCTTTTTTGAGCTAGAAAATGATGATATTATTGGGCATATATCGCCAAAGTCTGGGGAAGAGAAGTCCCTTCACTGAAAGTAAAGTTTAACTTCGTGGCAAGAACATGTGCCAAAGAATTGCCGTTACGCTTAATAAAAAGAAAGTTACATGAATCAAAAGATGCAGCAATAGTTAAGGTCTCCTCAATATATGCTCCAAATGAGGAGGAAGAAAGAACTCCGGCTTTCAAGGCATTGATGACATTTGAGCAATCCCCCTCTAAAATGATCGAGTTCCAACCATGTGATTTAGTCAGTGCAATAGCTTCAATAGCAGCATGTGCTTCACAATCTACCGCCTTTGGCCGCCCCGGAAATTTACGGACAGCCCACCTACAACATTCCCCTCGCCAATCTCTACCTGCTGCATATTCTGATTTGTCAAAATTTACAACTTCCTACATCAAATTTTCAAAAAAAATTCCCCACATTTAAAAATTTTACGATTCAGTCCAAATATTTTTCAGAATATGCAGGTCGTTCCTTTCAGCATATGCAATTATGAATATATTTCAGAATTTTCAGTTTTAATTGAAATTTTTAAAATTGCAGCATTGTCTCTAAAGTTTTCAGAATTTACAATTTGGTCCTTAAGGTTTCAAATTTTGAAATTTCATCCTTTATTATTAGAATCTGTTAGATTCTAAATGAAGTTATTTTCTGCTAGATAACATGCTATATAACATGGTTTTCAATTATTGTTAATTGACAGATTAGTTGGAAGTATATTATTGATCCGGACTAATATGTGGCCCAAACGACCCAATACCTGGGAGGTCCCACTAAGAAGAGCCCTTCAGAGGCCCACCACGACACCAAGCCCGAGGGGGAGAATGGAGAAGAAAGTTTCTTCCTCGGGGGCATAGGATCCTAGCTAGTACGACTCGCAAGGGGTCGCCCGAGTGTTGGAGCGACGCTCGGGCTACACCTAGGGAAGCTTTGCTATAGACCTGGAGGTCGGGGTAGGTACGGAAGAACGACTTTAATGTGTCTGACAAGCACCCATGGCGCCCCAGCGGCGCATTTAATGGACATTTAATGCTCGAATGACCAGACGCGGCCGGAAGTCTGAGGAAGTAGGAATGAGGCCTTACGCTATCCAACCGATGGAGAGAAGGGTTCTGACTACAAGGAAAGTAATCACGACACAAATCGTAATATAAAAGGAAAGTGAACCGAAATGAAATAAAGATAAAAAAATGGGGTCAAAGTGGGAGACGACATTTCTTGATTGTGTATTCTCCCTTTATATATTATATGAGTAAATTACAACCACGTCCCTGAGGTATGGTTAATCAGGAAAAAGCCCCTCATGTTTGGATAATTACAACCCATCAACTATGAATATTCTTCCACGTCCACCCTTATGGTGTCAAATTCAACATAATCTTCTGGATTCCGTGGAATGTTCTCTAGTTTATACTCATTTTATGCAAAAATGCAGTTTCTAATGCACCACAATCTGATATATATATATATACAAGCCAAAAAACACATGTTATGATCATATTGTTTCAAAATGTGGAGCTCGAATGGGATAAAACGGGTACAAAATTGAGAATATTCCATATAATAAAAAAGATTCCACTAAATTTGACACTGCAATGATGGATGTGTAAGAATATTTATAGTTGAGTGGGGGTAATTGTAATTACCCAAACAAGATTTTTTTTTTTTTTTTTTTTGTAATTTAATCATACCTCTGGGGTGGTTGTAATTGACCCGTATTATATAGATATAGATTAATTTTAATGAATAATTAATAATGAATATTTAATTATTAATGATCAATTAATTGATTACTAATATTTAGTAATTAATGAACAATTAATTAATTATTGATTAAGGATTATGACAAATTACTAATGATTGTTTAGTAATTATTTGGTAATTGGTTATCAACTTTTATATTTGTTATTGTAAAAAATATATTAGTTTTATGGGTGGTGAGAAATGCATGACGTGTTTTAGTAAATGTAGGACACTTTATTTGAAAAAATCGAAAGTTAATATATATCCCATCTTATTTTGTTAAATTTCTTTTATTTTTTTTAACGATATGGAGAATATCACATGAAGAGTTTTAGTAAACGTAGACACTTTATTTAAAAATCCAAAACCTAATATATCTCATCTTATTATTTCAAACTTTTTTTAATGAGTCTCCATCGACATTACTTTGGAAGAATATCACACAATTAATCATCATTAATCACAAAGAACACGGATATATTAGTTTTGGAGGATTATACGGCTAAAAGTGAAATTGAAAGTGAGTAAAAAAATTCATTTATGTGTGAAAAAAGTTTCTTGCTTTTTGTGTCAAATTTCCCTTTTCCTACTTTTTGTGCCAGACTTTATAATATATATTAATTATGCTACTAAGTTGGACCAGAATCATCTCGAGACGTTTAAAGAAGTCAATTATAAAGAATATTTTTCATCGGACAAAATATTTTGTAGTATAAACGAATTTAAAGAGTTTCTAGATATGTTTGAGATTGGAAATTGTAGAGAATAAATGTAGTTTTGTGGACAATTAATGAAAAATATTGGATGATAACTATTTTTTATATTAAAATATCTATAGCTAGTAATTTACGTTCTAAAACAGGGATAAAAATTAAAATAATTAAAAATGTTGTACATTTATTAAAAGCTGTATTCATCAATTCCCTAGTTTTATTAAGGGTAAATTCCACTTTACCCCCTCGTACTTTGCCTGAGAGTCACTTTACCCCCTCGTACTCTCAATTTTATTGATTTACCCCCTTGTACTTACACAATTTCCCAATACAGCCATTTTCTTCAATTTTTGTCAATTTTGACTCTAACGCCATTTGGTCAACTCTGTAAATTACAAAATTGCCACTGCCTATAACGCGTCGTTTCTCCTCCGTCAATATTGTCATTTCTTCTTCTCCCACCAGTTCCCCTTCCAAGATATCCCCAAATTGAACCCCTAACTTAGTAAAAATCAAGACCCAAAAATTGATCGATTCCACCAAGTGCAAAGAAAAAAATATATGAATGTGTGAAACTTTCTCTTTTCTAATCTCGAGAGTCAAAATCGAAAAAATTCAATATTTACGTCAATATTTTGACTCTTGACCAAATGGCGTCAGAGTCAAAATCGAAAAAAGTTGATGAAGAGGGTTGTATTGGGAAATTGTACAAGTACAAGGGGGTAAATCGATGAAATTAAGAGTACGAGGGGGTAAAGTGGTTCTTGGGCAGAGTACAAGGGGGTAAAGTGGAATTTACCCTTTTATTAATATATAGTTTTAAAATCACAACGTCCAAGCTGGGCGTGGAATGTGATTTTTCACGCCCAACTTCAAAAAATTTGTGAGATTTAGATCATTTTTTTGAATGAACTATATTCTCGTAAAATTAATTAGTCCCGTAAAAATCATTTCAATCTTCGCATGAATCGAATGTAATCTTATTATTTGTCTCAAACTTAATAAAATATGTAAATGTTGTACCTAACGCCTTGTCTTTAACTCTATAAAATATTCTATTTATTGTAATTTAAACCATAAAAATTCCCCTTTGATTGTTGCCGGCCCCTTAACGCTTTCCCCAATAAATTCATAACACAATATATAATTTGTACTACACATTCCCTTTAGCGGCAAAAACGAAAAAAAGAAAAAAATAAAAAATAAAATAAAGAAAAGGTGTTTTTCTTTTCTTTGAAGATGAATGATCTTCTAACGGTTAGTATATATATTTTTGTTATTATTTCTGCCGATTATGATTTTATTTGGTATGTGGGGGTTTACTTTGGGTTCATGAACTGAATTCATATATTTCCATTTATTTGTAGAATTTATGGTTTAATTTAGTATGATCTAGGTTTGATTCTTTGTAAGATGGTAGCTACAAATATTGCAAAAGATGTGTTTTTTTCGACTGCGTAATCGAATTATTGTTGATGTATGCATATGTTTGTCCAACTCCAGTCAGTGTGTCTATTGGGATAAAAACATGTTCCCATCAAACAAACTATACTGATTTTTACGGTTTGCCACCGAAAAAAAATCTGTGATAATTTGCTGGTTTATATTCAAAATCGATAACATGCGATTGGGGGTGAATTTTGGTGGTATATTCAAAATCGTACGTTTATTTCACTTCCTCCACCTTCCTGCAACATTTCGCACTTTCTCGTTTTTCCACTCTAAACTGCAAGAATTATTATCGAGATTCAAGAATAGCATTAGGCTATGAAACAATTTCATGTATAAAATTCAAGTTTTTGCATAAATTACCAAATATATGATATTTTTCATTGTCTCTTATGTGTATTTCTGTTCATTGAAGAAATGCAGAAAAATGTATTTGATTAGTAAGTTGCAATTTGGATCTATTAGATTCATAAATTGATTTCGTATTTTATTTCAAGAACTTATTTTTTCGATTTTGTGGTGGAGTATTTAATAGAGAGCGAGCGTCGTTGACAACATATCGTAGTTTTCTAAAAGTGGGGTACATACTTTTTGAAATAGTATATACTCTGATAATAAGTGTGCTTCCTGGAACTGTTCCCAGAACAATCTTAGTAGACGAGAAAAAACTATATTTCCATTTTGAAAAGTGAAAAGTTAAAATACTATCTACAAATGAATGATTTACCTATCAACTTTTCTTCACTGTTGGTTTTTCATGGATAAACCTTATTTTCATTGTAATAACAATCAGTTCAACTAGTTTACTCGAATAGGAAATACGTAAACTAAGTAAAGTTGATGTTCAAAATTTGTTAATGTTTAATTGATCGTTTCAGGATTCGTTTGTTAGTGATGTGAAAGGCAATACTTCCAGAGAACGTGATATAGAGATGGGCTCTCGATTCCCGAGGAGTAACTCGGACTTGGCTATGGAATCGTTTAATAAGCAGGTGTCTCCTAAATATTACTTCTTAAGAAATATTAGTTGTGGTGCAGATTTTTCATGCCCTGCTTTTATTTTGCAATTATTTGTAATAATTAATTTTATTCTGTAGATACAAGAGGTCGAAAAACAGATGGACAAACTCTCTCGTCTACTAGTAAAGCTTAAGGTATGAAATACCACTCTGGTTCATTTATTCTTTGTCAAGATCCTATGTTATTTGACATGTATATTTGTTGGTTCAACCACGAGTCTATTCCCTTTTTTATTTTCAGTCTTAATATTCGCTCAACTTTCCGAAAAAACCTCTACATGACATATATTCAATCGAACACTTCAATAATAATAAAGTTAAACATTATATTGCTCGTCATTTTCTTTTCTTTAGTGACATAAAATTTACACGATTATCTTTTTCCAGGATGCTAACGAGGAGTCAAAGTCAGTTATGAAAGCATCTTCTATGAAAGGTGCGCTTTAATTATCGCACATCTTCAACTAAAAATTATATTATCCTACTTTCATATATACATAACATGTTTGTAATTGTTCCAGCTATTAGGAAGCGGATGGAGAAAGATGTCGATGAAGTTGGGAAGATCGCACGCAATGTCAAACTGAGAGTTGAAGAAATAAATAAAGATGTATTTCTCGGAATATTTGACTCTTTTTATCTGCTTTATTTTCATCGTGTGTACGCCATATAATCCGATTTTGTTTTTGAATGCTTCAGAACTTGGCCAATCGGCAACAGCCAGGTTGCGGAAAAGGAACAGCTGTGGATAGGTCAAGAATGAATATGACAAAGTGCGTATACCGTATATAATATAAGTTTAAAAAATCTCTAATATTTCTACGTTTTCATGTTATATATAAGGTATGTAACCTTATTTCCCGCATTGCAGTGCCTTGACCAAAAAATTCAAGGACCTTATGACGGAATTTCAGGTCCTTTTTCCCGTTGGTAATTATTTTATTGACCATTTTAGTTGTCGATAATTTTTGAGAATTTTTTTCTTTTATTCCACCAGACCTTAAGACAGAGGATAGATGACGAATATCGCGAGGTTGTCGAGCGAAGAGTAATAACAGGTTAGAACAAGCACGTAATTGCATCATTCATTTGCCGTTTCTTGTTTATTTGTAATGGATATATTACACTTTATTTTATTTATTTCGGTGTCTTGTGACTTAAATTTCATGACTCGCAGTAACTGGAAGCAGACCGGACGAAGAGGTAAGCTTACCTTGTTATGTAATATTTTTTTCGGGTTTCGGACGATGTGTAAGATATTTATTTTTTGGAACTTATGACTAACAGACTATCAACAATCTGATTGAAACTGGAAACAGTGAACATATATTCAACAAGGCTATCCAAGAAACGGGGCATGGGCAGGTAGTTTTTTTTTTTTCCCGATGTTACGACATATCACCATTACTTTTTTCTTTTCGTTTTTTTTTGTGGGTACTAATTCCGTAATTATATGTCGTGTTTGCAGGTACTGAATGTTTTAGAGGAAATTCAGGAGAGGCACGATGCCGTAAGAGAAATTGAGAAAAAACTTCTCGACCTGCATCAGGTAATTTCTCAATTCAACCTTTGGGACACAATTGCATCCTCAAAACCTTCGACTAACTTTTACGAATCTCCGTTTTTTTTTAATTTCGTTAGATTTATCTCGATATGGCTGTTTTAGTCGAAGCTCAAGGAGACATCCTAGACAACATCGAAAGCCAGGTTTGTTTCTCAACATTCGATAATATGTTCGAATCTTTTTTTATTTTAATAATAAAATATATCAAAAAGTGAATGCGTTTGGGATGGATTGGATTGTGGTGGGGGTGTTTGTTAATGAGGACGTTGCCCAGGTTTCGAATGCGGTAGATCATGTTCAATCAGGGACAGGTGCACTTCAGAATGCAAAGAAACTTCAGAAGAAATCGAGAAAATGCATGTGCATTGCTATTATTACTCTCTTAATAATCGTAGCTATTGTCGTTGTCGGTGTTCTCCGACCTTGGAAAAACGGCAACGGCGCTTAGCTTTTTCTGTCCTTAATATCGATAATGAACGTGCGTGTCTATATATGTGTGTGTGTGTGTGTGTGTGTGTGTGTGTGTGTGTGTGTGTGTGGTTTAGATGAGGTATTTAGGGAGAAATTGAACTCACGAGTTTTTGCATAGGCTAGATATGGTGTTTCTGAGTGTGTTTTATCTTGTGAATAGGTGAGGTTTTGAATGATAGTTCTTAAGTATATAATATATATATTTGTTATATTATATATAAAAAGGAAAATTAGAAGTATACATTATTTGCTTAATAACATTATTTTTGAAATGGAAAAGAAGTTTTGTTGAATTTTGATAATTTTTCCTTCATTTTTAGATCATTTTTTTCAATAACTAAGCATGCACACTTTATTGACAATCTAAAATATATATCCACTGTCCATGGCATAGCGTTTGGAGCAAGTGAATATGTGTCAATTGACCAATGTTCGAATTCCACTGTCAACGGTTGCCAGGTTCGACATTGCTAGTAAATACAATTTTTAAAAATAAATAATTACCAAATAATACTTTTGCACAAGTTTTTGCAAATAAGTGTGGTTATAGTAGGGGTGAAAGAGTCGAGCTCGCTTCTTTTGGCAGGCTAGAGCTCGAGCTCGAGTCTATTTTGTCAAGCTCAAGCTCGTCGAGTTCCATCTTTTTTGGCTCGAGCTCGAGCTCGTGTTCATTTTGTCGAGCTCGAGCCCAAGCTCATTTTATTGTTTTTCTTTTCTTTTTATAAATATTCTTTTAATTATTATTTTATTATTATTAAAAATTATTTTTAAAAAATTACAAAATAAACAATAAATTGTAATTATATATATTTTAATATTTAAAATTTATTTTTATTTATTTCTTTAATATTTTATATTATTATACATTATTTAAATAAAAATATAAATATAAAAAAATAATAAAAGAAAAAAAAAATAAGAAATAAGGCTCGCGAGCCGACTTATGAACTTAGAAATAACTAAAAACTGACTATTCGAACTTTTTTAGAGCTGCCCGAGTTGTTTACCACCCCTTGGTTATAATGGTTAGATATTCTTATATATAATATTTTCAATTCTTGGTTGATATACCAATATAATATTATTTTTCATAAATTGCAAGTAATTCCATGCCATCACTTATTAAATGATAATAGAATGAACTACTAGTAATAACTGGTTTTAGCCTTTTATGTATTAATAATTACTATTTCTATAATCTCACTTTTGGATAAATATATAAATATTAATTACTTACAATTACAAATAGGAATTGAGACTTAGAGGGTGTTTGGCTAAGCTTATTTTAAACAACTGATAAGCTCTTACGTCTGATAAGATGTTTTTAGAGTTGATAAGCTATTACATCTTATTTTTAGAATTAATTTTTAGAGTGTTTGGATAATGAGCTTATTTCCTATTTTTACTCATTATAAGATCTTAAATAAAAATGTGGGGTAGAGGTACTTATTTAAAAAGATCTTATTTGGTCTCCAACAGCTTATTTTTAAAAAAATTAAGATCTTTTTTTACAAACTTACCAAACACTTTGGAAGAGCTTATAAGCTCTAAAACATCTTATAAGTTCTTTTTAACATCTTATAAGTTTAGCCAAACACCCTCTTAATAAGTTCTTCTAGAATTCAATTTCATATTTATTTTTATAGGAAGAATAGAAGAAGGAGAAAGAGAGAAATAATAATACTACGTAATAGAAACCCCCATTGTATTATGGGTTGATTACATGGAATATATATAGATAAATATTGCAAGGTAATAGAGTTTGACTAGGTAACTAAATCCTAACTAATCTAGGTAATCGAATCATAATAGAATCCTAATATTACAAGAGTTATTATAATATAATATACTCTAATAATTTTTACAACTATATGTAATTAATATCTGATGTATATATAAAGGGTATAAAGTCTAGATGTGTTTGGGTTAGGAGTGTGAACGAGGCGAGCTCGACGAGTTGAAATTTTTTGGAAATTTTTTGGCTCGAGCTCCTTTGAGCTCCGCTAGAGCTCTATAAATAATTAGCTCATTAATAAAATAGTTCTATTTTGTAATAATAATAATAATAATAATAACTAATTGTTTTGTTTGAAATTGTAGGTGAGAAATACAGTGGATCATGTGAATATGGGTACGGATGCTCTTCAAACAGCAAAAAGCTTGCAGAAAAATTCAAGAAAATGTATGATCATTGGTATAACTTTGCTCTTGTTTATTGCAATCATATTGCTCCTTTCTATTCTCAAACCATGGAAAAAGTAGAATCCACTAATCCCATCAAACAACTTCCACCTTACCCTTTTCTTTTCCCTATTTATTTTTCCCCCTCTTTTAGTTTGCAAGGGTAATTAGTTGGTTTATTTGATGCTACATTGGTCGATTATTAACCATTGATCTGCATTTAATCACTCACACCTATGTGTATGTGTGCTTAGTCGATGGTCATTTAACCACATCATTAGTTAAAAATCATCTGAAATAAAAAGTAGCATCTTAATTACTTCGAATAAAATCTGCCCAAAAAAAAAAATCAAATTTGTATCAATTGGACTTTATGATGTAACTTGGCATCAATTAGAAAAGTATTTTTGAGATTTTGTATGCTTATTTCGTATCGATAATGTTTTCGTTTTTCAAAAAAGTTGAGCCGATATCCGGATTGTGTTTGTCGGAAGATTCGTATTTGAATAACGGGTTTACGGAGTGAGTTTACAAAACTCCATATTACTCAAAAGTAATTGTTCAAAACAAGATAAAAAAAAATATAATAATAAGCATCGGAAATTCATTATACAATACAAATAATTAACTCAAAGCCTTCGAAGAAAAACTTATTGGTTGAAGAATTTAATAATGAAAGTAATATTTGTTTATATTTTGAGAATAACAAAAAAGACAGTCAAACTATTTCTAGAATTATTGGGAAACAAAATATTTCAAAAGAAGAATTTAACAAAAAAATTAAAAAAAAATCGTTATTTTATCTATTTAAAATATTTATAGAGAATATTAGAAATCTAAAC